CAGTGGATGGAAGACTTTGAAGCTGATTTTCACACAGTGCCAGTACCCGCAATTCGGCAAGGCATCCAATTTCAGTTGGAATTTCTTCAAGCTCGTTCCCACCAAGATAGAAACACTGGAGTCTAGGAAAATAATATCCAGTTCATTTTCCATAAATTTCACAGTGAGGAGCCATGCTCAGTCTGGCAGAAGTATTACCAACATCAACATGGGAAAGAGTCAGCAAGATTGAGATATAATAATTTGTGAGGATAAAAAAAAAGGGAAAAGAATCTGAAACAAGTATACAATTAATTCCCTCACAGTATACAGTCCATGGTTCTACAGATAGCATACAATTATCATTATTAAATCAGATGAATTTTACTTTGGATCAGAGATGTACTGACAATAAATTTTGGTCAATACTATGAGGTCAACATGGCCAATACCAGTACTAGGTACAAATTAGTACCTAGTACTGGTATTGGCCATACTTGGTCCAGTACCTGGCAAGCTCATAGCCTAAGACAGCCATGTCACAAAAAAATATTATCCTTGTCTCATCATGGCAGTTCTCAGCCTGTGTGCCATGGTACCCAGAGGTGGTGCAAAAGGCTGACATGAGTTTTGGGAACTTTTTATGTCTGCAATACTCTTTTATGGGTGTAATGTTGGAGCATTTTATGGGGCAGCAAACCTCTTTAAAGAACCACTTTCAAAGCATGACACTTCTGACTTCAGCACACACTCATTAAAATTGTATGCCAGTAGTATGTAACTTAATAATGAGAGTATCTATCAAGGAAAAATTCAAAGATCAAAATTGTTGCTTCAATAGAGATTCTGATTGCTCTTGCCAACTCTTGCTCTTCCTCTGGGTATGTATAAAAAAAACAAAGCAAGTTCGGGTCCTGTTTAAACATTACAGATGACCTGTGTGGGGTTATGGGTGGACTGGGATACACAAGTGATATATTGAACTGTATTTGGATTTTCTGTACAACCAGAGGCAGTTACAGGTATTGCATTGAAATGAAATTACAAAAATGTGGAGAGTTTGAATTAGTCTTGAAATCATTGAAATGCATGGAGAATGGTGCATATGCAGGGGTGCTGCCAACATCTTGCTGCCCAAAAAGTGTGCCATTGCTGAGAAAAGGTTGAAAACTGTTGCTTCATCAGATCCTTTAACATCATGGCAGATGTGGGAGCATATTCTCAGCCTTGAAATGTATACCATAGCCATGATATGCACTTCATGTGAATTGACCAGATACATTCACATATAAAATTCAGGATTCAGGCAGCCAATACACAATTTAATATTGGGCAACTGCAAAACAAAAGAAAGTCTAACTGATATTGCTCTGGCTGAGGCTAATACTATGCTCAATATCAATCCATCTCTAGTTTGCTAGACATTTCACATTTTATCCAATTAGCCAAATCAAGCTAGAGACAATAGCTACATATCTTTGTCAGCTTTGAACTAGGAAACTGGATACTACAGTATATGCCTAAATAGGAGGCTAAAACTTACTTCTTGATGTTGCGAATGTTAGAAGGAATCTCTTTGAGCCTGTTTCCACCCATAGATAGATATCGGAGATTCACCAGATCAGCAATTTGAGGTGGGAAGGTGGTAAGTTGATTTCCACTCAAATTCAGTTCCTTCAGGTTGGCAAGGGAAGACATGTCTTTGGGAAATGAAGATTCATCTGTCAAGAGGTTGTTCTTCAACCCAAGTTGCACGAGGTTGGTAAGGGTCAAAATTGACTGGCCAATGAACTCCAGACTGTTGTTACTGAGGTCAAGAACTCGTAGCCATGTGAGTTGTTCTAAATGGTCAGGGAGCACTGTCAACATGTTGTTCTGAAGATACAAATTCTCTATTTTCTCTCTTTGATTTGTCTCCCCTGAGTCATAACCGAAGAGGAAAACTTGCAGGTTGTGACTACATGTATCATTGGTTAATTGAAGATAGGAATAATCCAAGCTCTTTTCGTTAAGGATGACATCAGAGTCACTTCCATCTGATGAGTACCCTTGATAAGATGCCATGATTAGAGGTTGAATGCTGTTGCAGTTGAATCTGAAGCTGTCACCTCTCAGTCAAGGAAAGGGAGATATAATATGAAATTCCCTGTGGCTGTATTCAATCCATGTCCAGTACCTGAAATGAATTTATTGTATGGGTGAAATGTGTCAATCAAACTTCAAAAGTAGAATAGAGAATGATTTGAACTTGCAAAAAGACTTGAAAAAAATATAACTGGGATATTGAAAGTGAGACAAATTGTACCCATTCATACCAAGGTTAGACAATATTGAATAGGATCTGCTGCTACAGTTCTCATCTTGCACACTATAAGAACAGAATGGGATTTTGTAGTCACCTTAACCTCTCAAGTGGGTATGACAGATATTTCCACCCCATTTCACATATTTTTTATAGTTTATCTGTACCAATACCATGCAACTACAATAGTACAATCTGAATGTTACCTGCAAAGGCCCCATGAAAACAACCACAGTGCACAGCTCCTTGAAATTTCAGAAGACACACACTCATGTAGATTTTCTCATTTCCAGTTTCTTAATGATAAATGCTGACTCTTTTCTCACAGAAACTAGAAATGTGCTAGTGTGCTGCATTCAATGTAATCTTTTAATGAAAGTCTTGAATTTGAGGAACATCTAAAGAATTTGCAGAATCAGTGTGTGCAAATGAATGAATTTGCAACTAAACCACATGTTTAGTTAAAAGTTTTAGCCTTTCCTATGGAAAAGAGCAAGGTATCAAATGTTAAATTTAAAAATATCACATCTTAAGTAAACTCAATTTTGCCATCAACCTCACACTGCTTGCATCAAGTAAAAACTTTTTCCAAGTATGCCTGCTATACCCTGTCAGCACCCAAAGGGAAAAGAGAGGGAGGATGGCAAGTACAGAAAATCCTCCCCAAACCTTAGGTCTGCTTACATCACTATTAATTGAGGTGTCATTCTTCAGACCAAAATAATAAAATAGTTTGACACTGATTTCTGTTACATGGAGGGGGATGACAG